AGATCGCACAGCCTGTTGAAAGTCAAGTCCAGTCTTCTCCGTATTCACTCTCTAGGGGAAGTGGTGGCGCACTCAGTAACACCAGTCAACAGTAACCACTCGCTAGTATGACTGTCGATGGTTCCCTCGTTCAGAAACTGCTCGGAAGCGAGCTGATGGCTCTTGCTTGGCATATGTCACTGTCGAAACGAGTCGTAGAGAGAATGGCCTGGGCCTTCAGCGTGCGAGCATAGAAGTTTTCAAATGTGTTTTATTTGAGAATCAGTTGAATTATTGCAAAATTCATGCCGTTGACTGTTGATCAGTTTGATTCGAAATCACATCCAGCACAGTTGTAGCCATGAGATTTATTTGAAGCATGAGTATGCACTGTATCAAGACAAGTGACTGATCCCCGCCCCAGGACAAGAACAACCCCAGTCCGGCTGAGCGCAGTGAGCCCGCTCCTTGACATACTGTTAACATACGCGAGAGGTGTGCCTGCATCTGGTGTATCAATGAGGTGTTTTATTTGAAATAACCGTCCTAGTCTGCACCGCTAAATCGCCATTACTATACATACATATATATATTAATGTTATCGATCCATTAATTAAGCACTCCAAAACACGCATAATTAAGCTGCTTCAGCGCACAGTTTATTTTCGTTTTGTGGCAATTGTCTTCTGATACGTCTTCGGTTTCGTGTAAACGATTTTCTGTAACAATTTTTCGATACTTTTAAAACAGATGCTGTTTCGGCTTAGGTACCAAAATACTAAGATAGAACACATACAACTTAGTGGACCAAAAAATCCTTATCCTAGATTGACATATACGTATTTCATTCCATTAATATTCGTTCAACTATTGCTGCATGCTGCTTCTTTCATTTTACTTTCATCCATTAATATTTAATTGGATTAACTGTCCTTTAACTGTTTGGGTGACTCTTGACACCCTATTTTTTGCTATAGCTAGTTGCTGTGGTTAAGAGTCTCCTTGAGAGATCTAGGATTGCCTTGCGGCATAGAAAAGCTACAGTAATCTGCGGCAGAGCTGCCTGATTCAGCTGGACAAGCACCAAAACCAGCGACAGGAAGTAAATTTTGAGCATTTCAGTTCTTCGTTGAATCTCCTCATGTTTTATAAGTGTTGGTGCTATATGTGGTACTATCACAGATGACGTATACCTTTTTGGAAGACTTTTTGGGCGGTGGCGGAGGTGGTGGTGGAGGTGGTGGCGGAGGTGGTGGCGGCGGTGGTGGTGGCGGTGGTGGCGGTGGTGGCGGCGCCTGTTCCTCGTGCTTTTTTTTACCTCCGCCAAAATAATCGTCGTCGATATCAATGTCAAGCTCAGCGGGTCGACTGCCCAGACCACCTGTTGCTTCAACCGGCACAAATGCGCTTTTGTCCGCCATTCATCTACAAATTAAGTTGTTCGCTAACTCGCGGATCTGTTAATTCGTCGAAAACTTTTGTGTGACTTAAATACTGGGACAGCTGGGACAATTGGCAAGGGTATTCCATGTTAGTGACATTACCGAAATGGCTTTCAAGATCCGTAAAAATGAAAATACTCCCTACTGTCTGTACTAACAACTCCAGGCACCACTGATCATATAAACCTGACATAAGCACCGATTCTTATTTGTGGAACGTAAAATCCAGTACCGCCGTGGATAACATGTCACAATTCGAAGGATCCAGGTATGGTGAAAATGCGAAGTAGCGTTTTTATTTCAATTACAAAAGGGATTCTGCTCGTGACTCAACATGTCCAGCGCAGCTATGCCAAACCCACCGCGTAAGATTCAATAAACAATTCTAAAATCAAAAGATAACTGGCTGTTTGTGGGACAAACTTATCAGAGTGATAACTGCAACTCCTGATAAAAACCCAACAATGATTGCGGTGAGAATTATGAAGGTAATGATCATTACGACTAAAAAACGAAGACCGCCTTACACAGCTCTCCGAACGGTCGTCGTCGTCTAAATTGTTGAAACGCCTTTTGCAAGGAATAGGAAAGCGGTAATAGGGGGAGGAGGGTGCAAGCCACCCGACAAGAAAAGATCAAATCTCAAATGCCTTCATT